CGCGAACCGGAAACGAACTGGTGCGAGAAAAACACATCGTCAAGAATAGTGTGCTGCCTTCGGCAGCAATCAACATATAAATTATATATTTAAAAATGTCAACATTAAAGATTGAACTTGGTTCGGGTAATCTCAAAGGTTCATTTGGTTTCGGTAAGAAAGAAGATTATACTTATGACGTGCCTGAGAATGCTATCCATGTTTCAATGCATCACGAAGACAAGAGTTCTGACACACTCAATATTGGTAATGGAAACGGCAAAGTCACATTACGTTGGGATAAAGCTGCAGGAAAAGCTCATGTTCATGCTTGGGTCAATGGTGCTCTTGGCAGCCCAAATGAAGTGAGATGGACTGTTCACCGTTGGATCAAAGCTTGAACTTCACTTTGTTTATATCAACAATGTGAAATTCAACCTTACTGTCTCGTGACCTTATTCAACTCGGTCTGATTATAAATGAACTAGATATATCATTGCAATATAAATGTTTTGGTTACTTCAATTTACATTTAATATAACCACGGTCGGAACAATTTAGAACTAATTTATACAGACTATAGTCCATAGTCTATATACTCTTCATTGCTACGAGAAAATAACTAGTCATGATCATGTCACGAGATTAATTAATTACACCTAAAATACATGCATGACCTTCCATTTCCGCTTGTGCGGCTTGTTGTCATTTTGGTATATTTGTTCTGTTAATACTGTAGCTGTTACCAAATAATAGTGAGCTAGACAAATACAGCGGCACCGTCAGTGAAACGCCATTAACAAGTTTCAAAGGCGACTATAAATTGTATTCCCTTGAGCATTCTGGTATGTCGTACTGTAAGTTCAAACCGCGACGTTAAATTATTTACATTATTTTCACGGCTCGTAACCACGCCAACAATTAAAACGTTCGAAGTTCGGGTGTTTTATTTCACTACTTCTATAGTTTTGTTTAAGAGTAAGACAAGTATTTTTGAGAGGCAAATAGAGTTTAGTGAATAGTGATATATGCTTTGGTTCGAATACAAAAATGTAAGTAATTTGGTCTTCTACCTTGCCGTTTCCGGTTGAGCAAATATACGGACAAGTTTCATTTGCTCGTCTGTATACACAACTTTGACAATTTTTACTGTGACAAGTACACTTGAGCTAGCATGGATCTATGCATGCTAGCTTTTGAACAAGTCACTTGTTCAGAAGCTAAAACAAAAGTAAAAATTGTCAAGTACAAATTTGGTCGTCTGTATGGGTCAACAAAGAAAACTTGTCAGAGTAATCTGGGCCAGTTGTTCAAAGGTGGGTTAGCGCTAACCCTTGGTTAAAATTTAACCTGCTGTTTTAGTTTATGTCAGTATTTCTGCACGTCTGTTTAATTCAAAACTTCAGAGAAGAAAACTCCTATCGACTCAGCCAAGATTTCTGAAGAAACATTTCCAAATTTATAGACAAGCTGTCAGGAAGTTTAGGTTAACCTGGGGTTAAGCTAACCTGTCTTTGAACAACCGGCTCGTGACTACTTGCATGCAGTTGGTCAGCGATCTACAGGGTGTCCCCCCCCCAAAAAAAAGAAACCCCGTTCCCCTATAGAAATCACTCTTTTGTTGTTAAAACGTGCATTGTTATACCTCTGGGAATTTAATATAGCTTCTAAAAAGAAAAGCAACACAAATATGTCAAATTACAAATTCGTCTTACCGTCAGTTCGAGTATATAAGAATGGTTCAACTGATTACACAGCAACGAGTATTTGTCGTAACAACTTATAGGTTAATTTAACGACAGTTATTTTAATAGATGGTTTGGAGACTCCATGGAAGTACAATATAACTCAGTAACTATGTTATTGTCCAGCTTTATGCAAGAATTTGGTCCTATCTCGTCACGTGCGTATTGTATTTTCGCTCAAATAACCAATAACAAGTTTGTGGTTGAGTTTAACTTATCCATCCGTAACTTGAACAAATGCTCAATTTAAATATTACTATTGGTTGTGCGGAAAAAAAATACTATACACACGTGACGAGATAGGCCCAAATTCTTGCATAAACCGAAACCAACATAGTTAATGAGTTATATTGTACTTTCATCGAGTCTCCAACCCATGTATTCTATTAACTGTGATTTAACGCAAAGTGTAACCGAAGCGTTAATAATTCAAGCACGTTAGGTGAAAGAACAGCCCGAAAATAAGTAAAACACACACCAAATCATTGTGGGAGAATGGGTTCAGGGTGAAGTGAACCAATTATATACATTATACTCTCAAACTCTGGTCAACCCAAAGACTCATTAAGCCTTATGTTTTCATCCCGTAGGCGTATATATAAGACCTGCTTGGAGAGACTGAATGCTCCATAGGAGCTCTGCCCGAAGGGTAGCGACCCCCTCTGACATAGACCTGAACCAAGGGGTGATAATCCCCTTGGACAGTACCTACGATTCGACTGATTATATTTACATAAATAACCTGAGTCTATGGGCCTGAAGTTGACCATTGGGAACACTTCAACCCCGAACCAAAGTTTATTTCTTTCAACATAAACCCATGCATTTAAGTATTTACATAGCGATAATTTTCCATGAGAAAATTGTTCGATAGTCTTTCTTGACAAAATGTTCTTGAACAGCCCTTGCATAACATTAGTTAGTACCCATACAATGCACCAGATACCAGGAACATGAACGGGTGGGTGGGTGGAAATTTTCGTTCTCGGTAACAAGACATTGCTCTTTGTTGGGATATTTGTCAAAGTGAACTCCCTTATCACATTGACCTTTGTTCTGCGTGTTCGTTGTTGACATATGATTGGTCAGTTGATCTTTCATTCGGTTTTATACATGCCCAGAGAAACATTTGAACTTTGGACTATTGGATATCGCCTTTTTGTGGCTGTTGACAAGCTTATCCTGTTACTATGAGATTATAACCAGGTTTGAAGGTGACAAACGTGTTGTCTCATTAACTTGAATTTATATATTGTTATATATAAATTTGCTTTAATAATTCAAGCACGTTAGGTGAAAGAACAGCCCGAAAATAAGTAAAACACACACCAAATTATTGTGGGAGAATGGGTTCAGGGTGAAGTGAACCAATTATATACATTATACTCTCAGACTCTGGTCAACCCAAAGACTCATTAAGCCTTATGTTTTCATCCCGCAGGCGTATATATAAGACCTGCTAGGAGAGACTGAATGCTCCATAGGAGCTCTGCCCGAAGGGTAGCGACCCCCTGTGACATAGACCTGAACCAAGGGGTGATAATCCCCTTGGACAGTACCTACGATTCGAGTGATTATATTTACATAAATAACCTGAGTCTATGGGCCTGAAGTTGACCATTGGAAACACTTCAACCCCACAAATACACAGCATGTGTATTCCCCATAGACGAACTCCCACCACAGCTGTATTTGTATACAAGACAGCTGCTGCCAGATGATAAATTGGGCGTTACCATCACTCATACTATAGCTGGATAGTCAGGGAGGCCAGAAAAAACCTGGAATATACAGGAAACCTGGATGGGGCCAAGACAACCAGAAGCTTCCCCACAAAGCTTCTATCTTACAACTTTTTAATTGGAGGGTTGGTAACACGACAAACAAAGCTCACCATCGAGGCACATTTTATTTATTTTTATTTAATTTTTTTTTTTTTTTTAAAGTTAATGTGTTCATAAATACGTTTTGCACAACATTTATTTGTTAACCACACTTATTTTATTTCAATTATGATCAGTGGACCTTTCTCGAATTATGTGACATTACTCTCAGAAAAATAGCTTATTCATTACTTTAATTCAAAATAACAAGACCAAAATTTTGCGATCGAACATCCGATCATGCATGCATGATATTAGCAGAAAGAAATTGTAAGAATGTGTATGTGGTAGTCAAAATAGATTATATGCAGTAAATAATAGTACGTCAAAGGATTTTCAATTTTCAAAAGCGTAGGCATACATGATATCGTACTAATCTTTCCTGATATCCATCTTGGCATCTTGCCGATTTATCGGCAAATGTGCATAAACATATATCATGTGCAGAGTTTTAAGTCTCAAATTTCGTTCACAAATGAGCTTGCTTTCTTAAGTTTTGAACAGTAAAGTGTTGAAAATGTATGCAGGTCAAATTAATTTTGTGAAATACTGAAAAAGAAGTTTTATAATTCTACTTTTGAGCGATTGAATACAGTTTAATGTAAGGCCTGATTGAAACCCAATCCAACGCCAAATCTGAGGCGTAGTCTGAAGCCTTTAATCTGCGGCTAATCTCAAGGTAGTAATAAAATTGTCATTGGAATTTTTGATCGACAAATATAAATACAACAGAATCACGGAATGTTGTTATAAAATAGACGAATTTTAATACATTTTGGTTGGTTTGAGATGCGGAATACGAAACAAACGTGTCAATGCACCGCATACTTACGCGCCGAATACCGCTTCACTTTAGGAAGCATGTGCATTGAGACATGAAATGATATCAATTGAACGCTTGTTGATTTCGTGTTAAGCGGCTTTAGCCTATCGATCTTGTTGTTATTCCCCCAGCGACGGTTTCATTTAAGGGTAATAACTTCGTCGGGACTTGGGCCAACGTATTCCTTTGTCCACCAGAAGAGTAAGCGCTTGTCCGGTAGAGTTCTATTTGAATAAACTGCGTCTCACTGAATTATCATACTGAGTTACTGACCAAATTTTCTTTGATATAACCATGATATGTCAATTCCAGCGTTCATAAAGTCTTTTCTGTCACATTGTCTGAGTTCATTCGATGTTCGTAATTCTTTACAGCTCCGCACCAAGTCAAATTTTCAAATTTTCCTTCTCGGTAACAAGACATTGCTCTTTGTTGGGATATTTGTCAAAGTGAACTCCCTTATCACATTGACCTTTGTTCTGCGTGTTCGTTGTTGACATATGATTGGTCAGTTGATCTTTCATTCGGTTTTACACATGCCCAGAGAAACATTTGAACTTTCGACTATTGGATATCGCCTTTTTGTGGCTGTTTGACAAGGTTATCCTGTTACTATGATTGTTATATATAAATTTGCTGAATGTGTAAATATCTGGTTTTGTCTCAGTAACCCTGCTTTGCACCATGACCCCCACACTTCGTAGATTTGAGCAGGCAGGGATTTATATTGCCTGGTACCGGTACATAGTTTACCATAATTACAGGATATTATTGAAAGATCTCCCTACCAATTTAAAAGCATTATATTATTTACTCTGTATGTATGTTTACTTTAAGTGTACCCTGGTCCCAGAGCCTATTTGCGAGGCGGCGAAAGAAACAAGAGGCGAGAACGGAGAGCCTCTGGTCACATCATGGCCGTATAGCCAGGGGGAAGTAAGGCTTATATGTTGAAAAAAGTCCCAAATATCCAAAGAATAATTAATATTGCCCCCAGCCACCCCCTCCCCTGCGCTGTGTACGGCCCAGGGTTACATCGATTGCAAATTCCACTTCCACACTTGATTAGGCTCAGAATTTGAATCTCGCATTTGATTGCCCATTTGTAAAAATATGTCCGGCTTGGGGGAAATAAACATTGCTGTAAGCTAATTATAGCCTTTATTATATTCATTTTGAAATCAATGGTGTTTCCTGCAATCTGATTGGTTGACAAGAGTGCGATTTCAGCACCAATCGCTCTCCTAGCAATGCGATTTGTGCTGACATCGCACCTTCTTTCAACCAGTCACATGAGAGTGCTGACTTCAGCCAACAATCATATTTAATCATAAGATTCAAACAGCCAATCAAATTGAAGAAAAATGTGATATAGCAAATGGGAAAAAACAAAAAGTTTACATATGTCATGTTTTAAATTTTTTAACACTCTTGATTACCTAAGCAATTTTTTGCGCTTAAAAAACAAAACAATATGGATAGCTACAGTAAACTATCAAAGAATTGCCAAGAATTTTTTTTTTTTTTTTGAAATTTCTGAATAGTAACAGGCAAACTAAAGCAAATTTAAAGCGTCAGGTCAGACTCAGGGAAAGCAAAGGTACTGTAAATTCGCCTAGCGTATTTGCAAATTTTATTATTTTAAACGCACAAAATTAACTGCACCAAAATTCTTTCAAACACTCGTAAAACCTACAATACAATGTTTAAACTTACTTGTGTTGTCTATGGCATTCCGTTCCGGTCAAAATTAGCCTGCGAACAGGCCCTGGGTTACGGGCGGCGCGAAGAATAGAGGGCCTGCACGGAACTATAGGTTTTCTTGGTAGTGGCGTTCGTATAGAAACGCAGGCTTCTGATTGGCTTACACTCTTTGACAAAATTACTAAAAATAGCAAATGTCAACAACAGCATTTTGAAGAATTTGAACTTTATTAATTTTAATATTATATATTATTAGACTATCGAACAAATAAAACTAGAAATGGGAACCAAAAGCAATAGCAAAGCATCACAGCAAAAAGTCTATCATAAATGACTTGAATCTATCGCTTAAATCCAATATACGAAACTATAACAGTATTCTGAACTTCGTCTTCGGATTGACATCAGACTATAGTATAGTACATTTTGAGGTCGTCGTGGCTTCACGGATTATTCTCATTAGTGAGCAAGTCAGCAAGGGAAGGTATACAAGGTATACAAGGATACAAGTCAGCAAGGGAAGGTATACAAGGAAGGTATACAAAGATACCCAAATATGTACGAATAATTATATTGTTGATCCTCGCTGGCATGTCATTTAGATATAAATATATATCGTACATTAAACGCTGTACTATTTACTGAATAAACTGCTGACAATTTCGTCGTCGATACGGCTTCCATCACTATGCTTCCACTATTGGCACACTCGTGATTTCGAAGAAATTAATAAATACATGCTCATTTATCTTTTATTTAGATCACAGTTAGTAAAATTTTAGACGTATTCAGTATTCCAAATCCCAATCAATCTGACCGTATTTTAGTAATGGCTTCAAATATTCAGAACATTGTTCCTTCAGTCGCACATAGTACAAGTATTACTGTACAAAACTGAATAAAACGCATGGTTCCGTGCAGGCTCACCTTTCTCCCAGTGAGCCTTTTCGCAGGCTAGGTCAAAATTAGTTATATTCATAACATAACACCGTGGCAAAATGTTGTAACTCTCAAAATAAAATTGAACCGCACAAAAATAAATTGAACCGCACAAAAACAATTTGAACCGCACAAAAATAAATCGAACTCGCACAAAAATAATTCGAACTCGCACAAAAATAAATTGAAAGGAAACGCACAAGAATAAATCGAATAGAAACGGAAGTGAACACAAAATCGAAAGGAAACGGAAGTCGCTGACTAAATATGCGGGTTTGGTAAAATGCGGATACGCATTTCGGATAATTTTTTATTTCATATATAATTATATACATAACGCGCATATATATTATGTTGACAGTCGTGATGGATCATGCTTATTATTGTACTTTATTTGAAATTATTTAGTTCTATGTTTATACCTCTATTTCGCACTCTGTAATCCATGGCGCGTACTCGCTTCTAACTTTTTTTGTTCTTTCTGGTGCATGAAAATCTGCAACCGACAGAAATATTGTTTTCCAATTTTCCCACATAATATTTGGATCAAGCATTGTATCACAGAATACTTGATCATATAAGCATGTGGGAAGGTCTGATTTAAAGTTGTTTGAGTTGTAGTGTTTGAAATTTCTTGATTTAATCACTTTTGGCTCTTTACGGGGAACGGAAATTTTTCTCTGTATATAGATTAAGCTGTGATCACTTATCCCCAGATGAATGACACCCGAGCCATTTATCAATTCCGGTTTATTGGTGAATGCTAGATCTATTAAGGTTTTACTATTAGCTGTAATTCGCGTTGGTTCACTAATTAATTGTTGAAATTGGAATGTCTGTGCAATTCCAGCAAGCTTGTTTGTCTGAGCGTTAACGCTGTTACTATCCAAGCGAGACCAATCGCAGTTGTAATCTCCAAGTAAAATTATTTCCTTGTTTTCAGAGTCCATTCGAGTAATTAAATCCTCGAATGCATTGAATATTTCAAGTGTTGTATTGGGTGGTTCATACCAACTATTAATTAAGAATGGTTTGGATTTTGGTTTTGAAATTTCAAGTGTAATTGTTTCGAGATTATCGTCAGTTAAATCGTCTCTTATTATGAAGTTTATTGAGGTTCTTATATATATTGCGACTCCACCACCATGCCTATTCCTGTCTTTTCTCACAATATCATAACCATTAATTTTGATCTCTTGATTTGAGACAGACAGGTCAAGCATGGTTTCGTTAATGCTAATTATTTCAAATTGTTGTTTATAAAGATACAGC